AACATCGCCATGTACTCTGATTCTACGGAAGAGAGTGCCGTCTCCGTCTGCTTCTTAGACCTCCAACTAACAGGTCCTCCCCCAACTACGCAGATGTATCCTCCCACAGATGAGGAATCCTCCTTCTTAGAAGCCCACATAGCCTCGATAAAGCAAGTGAGAAATAGCTTGCCTTCTCCAAGCCGCTCCCCCTTCTCTTTCAGCACCTCAACCCCTTTCTCCTTGACCTGTGCCGATGCGGAGTACTGAACTCCGATGCTTGGGTGAGAGTTCAGGTACTTCACCACACGCTCAGCTGCATCCACCTGCTCCTCAGATGGATTCTGCACCAACCTTGCGAGCTGCCCAACCGAGAATGAGAATGTCGGGCCTCGCGTGAACCGCTGCGTACAAGAGGCTGCCCACCAAGGACTGAAATTGCTGCTTCCTCCTCGACTTCAACCCCTTCATCTTCTGCAGCCTTCACAAGCTTGAATTCTGCTGGCAGGGGAGTTGCAACCTTGCACTCATTCTCAATCCCATACTTCTCCCCAAGCTCTTTGATGAACTTCTCCTGGTGCAGCTTCAACCACCTGTGATCAGGATCCCTCTCCACGTGCATCCCGAGGTAGTACTTTACCTCCCAAAGGTCTTGCACTTGAAATTCTCCATTAGTTGCTGCTGCACTTTCTGGATCTCCTTCATGCTGCTGCTAAAGAGAAGAATGTCGTCCACGAAGATCAGAAACAGCACCAGCTCCTCCCCCCCCTCCTTGAGAAAGAGGCTCTCATCGCAGCTGCTGGTCCTGAATCCCATCTCCTCTAAAACAGCTGCCAACCTCTGGTACCAGCAGCGTGGCGCCTGCTTCAAGCCGTAGATGGACTTTTTCAGCTTGCACACCCTGCCCGTACCATCCTCATACCCAGGCGGCTGCGTCATGAACACCTCCTCCTCTAAAATCCCGTTGAGGAATGCCGTTGAAAAATCCATTTCAATTAGGAATTTCCACAAACGGCTGCATCTGCCAATAAGACACGGAAGGTAGGAGGTTTGGCAGTGGGAGCAAAGATCTCATTGAAGTCCTGCTTCTCCTTCTGCATAAACCCCTTAGCCACCAGCCTACTCTTGTAGATGGTGACCTGCCCCTTGTTATCGGTCTTGATCCTCAGCACCCACTTGCATTGTATCGCTTTTTTTCCATCAGGCAGCACCACCAGATCCCATGTTCCATTCTCTAGCAGGCTCTGGTACTCAGCATCCCTAGAAGCCAGCCACTTGTCTCTATCTGGTCCAGCTAGTGCCTCCTCCATGCTAGCTGGTTCCTCTGGTGCAGGGGCAAGAAAACAGTACGCAGGCTCGTCCTCCTCATCCGGGTCATAGCCATGAGGTAGAATCAGCATTGCCTCTTCGGTCCCAAGCTGCTACTCCGCTACACCTGATCCTGCAGTCAGCTTTATAGTCGCCATATGGGTACGTCCTGGCCTAGTCACGGGTGTCTCCCAACTCTTCATAATGACACCCTTCAGCTTCCTCCTTTGTGATAGCTTGACACCTTCGTTTTGCCTTGCTGCTGTTCTCCTCCCTCAGATCTAGAAGCTTCCCTGGTGCTACCACTAGCTTCCCTGGTGCTGTTTCTCCCAGCTCCCATACATCATGCCCTCAACAAACTTCACATCCCTGCTGTCAAACAACACACCCTTGGATGGTTCCCACAGCAGCCATCCCTTGCTCTCAGCAGCCAGCTACAACTGCACACACCAGATTGCACTTTCTCCATTTTACTGCGGTATGTCTTGGGGACGTTGGCGATCGCCATGCAATCGAACACCCTTTGCATGTCCACTGGCGGCTTCCTCCCAAAACCACCTCTCCAATGGCACCCACGAGTCATCACCAACCTTAGTGAGCACCCTGTTCCTAGCGACGGTGGCGTGCCGGACAGCATGGGGCCACATCGAGTTGCCCAGCCCAGATTCTATGAGCAGCGCCCTAGCTATCTCTAGAATGGTCCAGTTTGCCCGTTCTGCTATACCTTTGGACTGTGGGGTGTAAGCCGTGGTCAGCTCCCTCTAGATGCCCTGCTTCTTGAGCCAGGCCATCATCTCAGCTCCAAGGAACTCACCACCCTGGTCTGTCCTAATCCGCTTCACTACACACTCGCTGTTGTTTCTCACGAATGGTCCTTCTGCTTCAGCGGATACGCCCACATGAGTCTAATCCAATCATCCACATTTGTAAGGAAATACCGCTCCCCCTTGTGCCGTTGTACAGGCAGTGGCCCCACCAAGTCCATGTGGACCAGCTCCAAAGGCTTCTTGCTCCTACCAACCACACAATGGAAGGGAAACTGGTGAACTTTGAAAGCAGGCAAATTTCACAGTTCTCATCAGGTGGCTGTCCGTTCAGCTTCAAGCCCTTAACGGCTCCATCTTTCTCTAGCTGCTTCAGCAAAGGCATTGCCACATGCCCCAAGCGTCGGTGTGCTGTTGCCCAATCCGTCTCCCCAGATCTGGCCGACACTTTCACACCAACCCCTCCAACGGCGTTGCACTCCCCCTGGGATGCAGACCCCTCTCTAGCCTGCCCCCCACCGTGCCACGCCAACGCCGGCAACTACCACATGGATCTGTACACGTCCGTGCTCTCGTGCAGATCCCAAGCACCCGATTGCCCAGCTGCCCTTTGTACGTGCGAGCCCCATCCGTGCTAGTGCTCACCCCAGCCTTGGCAAACCCAGGTCCTTGCGCGGCGTCATCGTCCAAGCAGCGCTCGTGTCCAACTCCCAATAGACCAGGGGGGTGTAGCTCTGCTCCAACCTTGGAAGAGGCATCTCCTTGCTCCCCCTGCTCTCCAATACAGAAGAACTGGCCCTGCGCTCCTTCTTCTCCTTCCGCACCGCCGTGCTCTCAGGGTTGTTGTCGGATGAATCAGCGACCATATTTGCGCCGGGTTCCTCCGCGAGCCGCCCTCCTGGTGATGATTCTGGGGGGTCCATCCATCGGGTTTCTTATAGCACAAAAACCAGGGATGCCCTTCCTTCTCACAATACCAGCAACTCCCTTTCATTTTTCCACCAGCACCCGTTTTGCCCCCACGTCCAGATTTCGCACCGCGACCCCAACCGGTACCTCCTTGTTGGTCGTTGGAGTTGTCGTCCTTTTTTGCACCATGCCCAGCACCACCGAAGCCATGTCCTCTGCCACGTCGGCTCCCTTGCATCCCATAGCCGCTGCTGCCGTCGTCTCCAGAATCCTCAGTTGACGGCGACTCTGCTTGTGAATTGAAGCCACGAGCAGCGACAGCATTTTCAAGCACTTGGTCTGCCCGGATAGGTGATTTCCGCGGTCGCCAACTTCGCGTAGAGGTCGCGCATTTTGTCCAAAACAGGTTGCATCTTCTCTCCCTCGCTTAGGCGCAAAGCGGACAACTCCCTCTCCATCATGAGCGTCGCGGGAGGTGGGGCGTGCAGCTCATTCAGCACGGTCCACACTTCGGACTGCAATCCACCTCCGGCAGTAGGTGCATGACGTGGTGACGCTGGTTCAGCTCCAAACTCTGCGACATCAAGTAGTAGCCAGCCGAGGCGCGCTTGTCCCTATCTTTCTGCAGCGCGGGATCACTCGGTCTAGGCTCTTCCCCAATCATTAGTTTCAGCAAACCGATCTGACGGAAATAGAGTTGCATTTTCCAGGCCCAATCATCATAGCCCTCACCATTGAACTTCTCGACGGTGAAGTTCTTCAGCACCTCCTTGATCAGCGAGCCCTGGTTGGTTCGCGCTCCCCTTGGCGCCAAAACACCAGAATCTTGGCTGCCGCTCACTTCGATCTTGGGCTAAAGATCAACCAGCTCCCGCCGAGGTATTGCCCGCCATAGCTACCTATAACGAGGATCACTATGACGTGTCAAACATTATATGTTTATATGATTGTAGGCTGTAGTGGGTTACACCTTAGGGGGTACACTAGATTAGGGTTTACTACTTGTATCCAACTTTGTGCTAGTACAGTCATTCCTGTCCGTTCATTCTGACATGGTTTCAGAGCAGGTCCTTCGCTAGGACCGTTTTTTTTTTAAGGGCCCACCGTTCCCTACCTACCTACCTACCTACCTAGGGCGCCTCGAACTTTTTTTTACGGCCCCTACCTCCCGCGACCCGCGACCCGCCCCTTAAGGCCCCGTCGCGCCGCCCCTTAGCCGCTCGCGCGCGGTCTTTTTTTTTTCCCGCGCGCGCCTTATTTCCCTCGCTTGCGGCCCGTCGCCTGCTCGCGCGCGCCCCGCAGCCGCCCGTCGCCTGCTCGCGCACGCCCCGCAGCCGCCCGTCGCCTGCTCGCGCACGCCCCGCAGCCGCCCGTCGCCTGCTAGCGCACGCCCCGCAGCCGCTCGTAGCCTGCTCGCGCACGCCCCGCAGCCGCCCGTCGCCTGCTCGCGCACGTCCCGCAGGCCCGCAGCCCGCTGTCGCAGCGGCCGCCCGCCCGCAGCCGCCCGTCGCCTGCTCGCGCACGCCCCGCAGCCGCCCGTCGCCTGCTCGCGCACGCCCCGCAGCCGCCCGTCGCCTGCTAGCGCACGCCCCGCTGCCCGCAGCCGCTCGTACGCCGCTGCTTCCGCTGCTGCTTGCGCACTGCTGCCTCCCGAGCGCCGCCGCTGCCTGTGCGCCGCCGCTGCCCGTGCGCCGTCGCTGCTCCTACGCTGCCGCTGCCCGTGCGCTGCCGCTGCCCGTGCACCGCCGTTCCCAGTGCGCCGCTGCCGCCCGTGCGCTTCTGCAGCCGCCGCCCGCGAGGCACTCGCTCTCACTGTTGTTTATCTTCTACCTACCGCGCACACTGCTGCCACTGCAGCTGCCACCAGTGCACCGTTGCAGCTCCTGCTGCCACGCTACCTACTACTGCCGCTCGTGTGCCACTACGGACAGTCGACCCCGCCCGCGCCTTGCCTAGCGGCCCCGCCGGCCCCGTTGACCCTCCGCACACCTTTTCAGCGGCCTGATTCCTACTACTACTGTTACTACTGCTACTGTCACTATGGCTAGCCCGCCAGTTCTAGCTTTCGATGCCGAGGGCCGTCCAGTGAAGTTCGAAACCTGGCTAGATGACCTGCACCTGTTCCTACAGCTCACTGCCAAGGAAGATATCTCACTGTACGACCACGCCCTAGGCCATGCCACTGCCCCTGACTCGACTGCTGACAGCACTCTGCGTTCCCAGTGGCAGACCCGTGATGCGCACGCTCGCTTTGCTATTCGCAACTCCCTGCCGCTAGACGAGCGCGAGCACTTCGGCCAGTGCAAGACTGCTAAGGACCTCTACACCGCTGTTGTAGTGCCCGCTACTCCTCGCCCGCTTCTGCCACGCTAGGCCGCCTCACTCTCCCCTACCTGTTCCCCGACCTAGCCTCCTTTCACACTGTCGCAGACCTCATCACCCACCTTAAGACTAGTGAGGCCCGCTTTCGTGCTGCTATGCCTGCCGAGTTTCTCACTAGCAACCCCCCCCCGCTCTGGATCACTCTCTACCACATCGTCACCCGCCTTCCTGACTCTCTACGCGCAGTCAGGGACCACTTCCTCTCTCGCTCCCCCACTGAGCTCACTGTTGCCCTCCTCGAGAAGGAACTGCTTGCAGCTGAGGCGAGCATCGTCGCTGTAGGCACCTCTCGTGGCGACCCCCGCACCCCGTTCTTTGAGGGGTGTTCCCCTTCCCCCCTCCTCCCCTCTGTCGCCTCTGCTGCTGCTGTCGACCTCCTTGGTGCTGAGAAGGTCGGGACCGCGTCTGCTTCGAGTGGGCGCCGCAGGAACAAGGGGGGCAGGGGTGGGGGTGGGGGTGGCGGCGGAGGAGGTGGGGGTGGAGGCGGTGGGAGTGGAGGCGCGGCTGGGGAGACTAGTGGCGGCAGTGGGGGAGGAGACAGCAGCGGTGGGAGTGGTGGTGGAGGCGGCAGCGGAGGCGGAGGTGGTCGTGGCGGCGGCAGGGGTGGAGGTGGCCGGGGCGGCGGCGGTGGGGGTGGTGGTCGTGGAGGCACTGGCGGAGGGCAGAGTCAGCAGCCCGCCCCGACGCTTCAGGCCGCCCGTGAGTGGTATGCGCAGCGTAGCTTTACCTGCACGTACGTCATTCGCACAGGTGACCGCAGCGGCCAGCAGTGTGGGAGGCCGCACCCCACGCAGCGCTGCTTCGCGCGCCTTAACGACGCGTGGCGCACTCAGTTTCCTGCTGCCACTGAGCTGCCGCGCTGGGCTGATCTGGAAAAGAGGGGTGTTGATATTTGGGCTTTAGACTTTGATGCTATTCTCACTGCCATGTATGCGATGTCTATTAGTGGAGAGGGTGCTCAGTACTTGCGTGTTCCGCCCGACCCGGGCATTCAGGCCAGTCCGGCTGCCGCTCTAGGTGCTAGTGCGTCTCCTACCACAGGTCCTGGTGGGGCTGCAGCCCTAGGTGCTCGTGCGTCCGTGCCCCCTGGTACTGAGTCGACTGCAGCACTGCACACCTTCACCCTGGACTCAGGTGCTTCTCGCTCTTTCTTTCGTGACCGCACTGTCCTTGAGCCACTCGCTCGGCCAGTTGCTGTCTCCCTTGCTGACCCCTCTGGGGGTCCGGTCATTGCGACCTCCTCCACTGTCCTTCCTTGTCCGGCGGTCCCGTCCGGCACGCTGTCTCTACCTCCCCTCGTTCTCTACGAACTTGGTGGCAGGTAGTGCGCTCCAGGACAGGGGTGTTCACCAGTTCACCCCTGCCTACGAGCGCGTGACACACTGCACGTGTGCTCGGACGGGTCGCCACCTGGCTACCTTCACTCGGGAGCCGGGGTCGGACCTTTACACACTGACCACTGAGTCCCCTCAGGTAGCTGCGTCCGCGTCTGCGTCTGCGTCAGGTCAGCTGTCCGCCCCCTGCTCGTGTCGCTCTCTGGCGCATGAGACTGTCCTTTGGCACCACCGCCTTGGTCACCCGTCTGTGCAGCGCCTTCGGACCATGCACAAACGGGACCTTGTTGCTGGTCTTCCCAGGGTGCTCCCTCCCCTTCCAGCCTCGCCTGCTCCTCCCTGTCTTCCCTGTGTCGAGGGGCGGCAGCGCGCCGCTCCTCACTCCTCCTCCTTTCCCCCGACGACTGCTCCTTTGCAGACGCTCCATATGGACGTGTGGGGCCCAGCCCGCGTCCGTGGCCAGGGTCAGGAGAGGTACTTCCTGATTGTTGTTGACGACTTCTCGCGCTACACCACGGTCTTCCCTTTGCGCACCAAGGGTGACGTCCCTGATGTCTTGATCCCTTGGATCCGCAGATCTCGTCTCCAGCTCAGTGAGCGTTTCCACTCCGACTTCCCTGTCCTGCGTCTGCACTCTGACAGAGGTGGAGAGTTTTCCTCTGGCCTCTTGGAGGCCTTCTGTCAGCAGGAGGGCATTGAGCAGTCGTTCACGCTTCCGGCCTCTCCACAGCAGAATGGGGTTGCTGAGCGCCGCATTGGCTTGGTCATGGAGGTCGCTCGTACCTCCTTGGTTCATGCGGCTGCCCCCCACTTTCTGTGGCCGTTTGCAGTCCGATACGCTGCGCATCAGCTCAACCTCTGGCCCCGTGTCTCCTTGCCCGAGACTTCTCCGACACTGCGTTGGACGGGAGAGGCTGGCGATGCGTCGCGTTTTCGGGTCTGGGGATCCCGAGCTTTTGTCCGCGACACGTCCGCGGACAAGCTCTCCCGTCGCGCTGTCCCCTGCGTCTTCCTTGGCTTTGTCCCGGACGCCCCTGGTTGGCAGTTCTACCACCCCACCTCGCGGCGTGTCCTGGCCTCTCAGGACGTCACTTTTGACGAGTCCGTCCCCTTCTACCGCCTCTTCCCCTACCGCACTGCCCCGCTCCCCCCCCCGCCTCTCTTCCTCGCTCCAGGTGCTGAGGTACCAGACCCCCTCCCCCCTCAGGGTGCCGCTCCCTCAGGTGTGTCCCAGGTAGACCCGGGTGAGCCTGTCGAGGTAGCTGTTGACTCTCGTCCTGCGTCTAGGGGTGCTGAGCCTGGGGGTGCTGAGTCTGGGGGTGCTGAGCCTGGGGGTGCTGAGCCTGGGGGTGCTGCGTCTGGGGGTGCTGAGCCTGGGGGTGCTGCGTCTGGGGGTGCTGAGCCTGGGAGTGCTGATATGCTAAGTCTGGGGGTGCGGAGCCTGGGGGTGCTGAGCAAGGAGGTGCGGAGCCTAGAGGTGCTGAGCCTGGGGGTGCTGGGTCTGGGGGTGCTGCGTCTGGGGGTGCTGAGCCTGAGCGTGCTACACCTGGAGGAGCCCTCTCCTCCCAGCAGCTGCAGGAGAGGTACCTCGAGTACTGCCGCCTCCGGAGAGGTGCTGCTGGAGCTCGTCCCGGTACTTCCCCTCCTACCCAGGAGCTCCCCCCCATTCAGCAGATCCGCGAGTGGTACACACGGCGCTGCAGTCTTCGGAGTGGTGCTCCTGGTGCTGCGGACCCTGGGGGTGGCGCTGCTGCTGGTGCTGAGGACCCGGACGTGGGAGCTGCTGCTGGTGCTGCGGACCCGCCTGGTGGAGCTACTGCTGGTGCTGAGGACCCGGACGGTGGAGCTGCTGCTGGTACTGAGGACTCGGACGGTGGAGCTGCTGCTGGAGCTGAGGACCCGAGCGGTGGCGCTGCTGCTGCTGCTGAGGACCCGGGCGTTGGAGCTACTACTGGTGCTGCGGACCCGGCCGGTGGAGCTGCTGCTGGTGCTGTGGACCCGGCCGCTGGAGTCTCCTCTGCTTCTGGAGACGCTGCGCGGCCGCGACCGTACTTCGTACCGCTCCTTCAGTAGGTTCTTGGGCAGGCTCCTCCTCCTTGTCCTCCTCCCTCCGTAGAGTGTCCTCCGCCTGTCCAGCCGCAGTCACAGTTACCGCCTACCTCGCCTCTCCCTGCTCCCTCTCCTTACACTGGTCCCACAGGAGGTCTTACAGAGCGTCGTGAGCCTGAGTCTCGTCCTGCGTCGCCTGTTCGTCCTGCTCGCACTGGTAGTCGTGTCCGTCGTGAGCGTCCTCCTCCTGTCCCAGGCACTCACTACATGACTCTGCGTCCCTCTACTGCTCCTCAGCATGTCCCTCTACCGTCTCCTCCTGCGTCCTCTTTGCCTCACGTTCCGGACCCTGAGTCTGACCGGTACCGTGCTGAGCACCCTACTGTCACGCGTCTCCTCGCTACTGTTGTCACTGACCCTACCTTTGAGTCCTCGACTGCGTCTGCTCTGGTCGCTGAGTTGGTTGACTTTGCTGCTGCCTGTCGTCTAGACTACGCTGCTAGCCTTGTTGCTGAGTCTGAGTCTGAGTCTGTCTGTCCTCTGTCCGTCGGGGGTGAGTGTGCTCTTGGCACGGACGTCCTTGAGGACAGACAGGAGGAGTTCCAGTGTCTTGCTGCTGCTTTGCCCCGTCTCGTGTCCTTGCTAGTTGCCCCTGAGGGAGACCCGGATGCACCAGACATCCCGACCCCGCGCACTTACGCTGAGGCGATGGCAGGTCCCTACTCCTCTCAGTGGCAGACAGCCATGGACGCCGAGATGGCTTCCTGGAAGTCCACACGCACCTACGTCGACGAGGTTCCCCCTCCTGGGGCGAACATCGTCAGTGGCATGTGGATTTTCAGGGTGAAGCGGCCGCCGGGTTCTCCGCCTGTCTTCAAGGCGCGTTACGTGGCTCGAGGCTTCAGTCAGCGAGAGGGAGTTGACTTCTTCCAGACCTTCTCCCCCACCCCGAAGATGACTACTCTTCGGGTGCTGCTGCACATAGCCGCTCACCGCGACTACGAGCTTCACTCACTTGACTTCAGCACTGCTTTCTTGCAGGGCAGCCTGCACGAGGAGATCTGGCTGCGCCGCCCACCTGGCTTCACTGGGTCGTTTCCTCCTGGTACCCAGTGGAGGCTTCAGCGGCCGGTCTACGGTCTCCGCCAGGCTCCGCGTGAGTGGCACGACACACTGAGGACTACACTTGCGGCTCTTGGGTTCGCGCCTTCTACAGCTGACCCGTCGCTGTTCCTGCGCACCGACACTTCGCTGCCGCCGTTCTACATCCTCGTGTACGTCGACGACTTGGTCTTTGCCACTGCTGACACTGCAGGACTCGCCTACGTGAAGTCGGAGCTGCAGAGGAGACACACGTGCACAGACCTGGGTGAGCTGACAAGCTATCTTGGCTTGCGGATCACCCGGGACAGAGCACGGCGCACCATCACCCTGACTCAGTCACACATGGTGCAGCAGGTTCTCCAGCGCTTCCGCTTCACGTACTCCTCGCCTCAGTCCACTCCTCTGCCTACCGGTCACTCGCTCTCAGCTCTGCCTTCGGATGAGTCCGTAGAGCCGAGTGGCCCGTATCCAGAGCTTGTGGGCTGCCTCATGTACCTGATGACCTGCACTCGACCTGACCTTGCATACCCTCTTAGCATCCTTGCACGCTATGTCGCTCCTGGCCGTCACAGGAAGGAGCACATGGATGCCGCTAAGAGGGTGTTGCGCTACTTGTGCAGTACGTCGGGCATGGGGCTTGTGCTTGGAGGGCGAGACCGAGTTGTTCTCACAGGGCACTCAGACGCTTCTTGGGCAGACGACCAGGCCACTCAGCGGTCGTCTCAGGGTTACACCTTCAGCCTTGGCTCTGGCTCAGTTTCTTGGCGCTCTACACGCTCTTCTTCTGTTCTCGGCTCCAGTTGCGAGGCTGAGATCTACGCTACAGCCATGGCTGCCCAGGAGCTACGCTGGCTGACCTACCTGCTGACCGACCTCGGAGAGCCGCCTCGTTCTCCTCCAGTACTGTACGTCGACAACAAGGCTGCCATTGCCTTGTGTGAGGAGCACAGACTGGAGCACAGAACGAAGCACATCGCCCTGCGGTACTTCCTTGCTCGTGAGCTGCAGCAGCGCGGTCAGCTTTGTATTCGCTACGTGGCCACTGAGGCCAACACTGCTGATGTGTTCACCAAGGCGCTTCAGCCTCGTGACCATCAGCGCTTCTGCACTCTACTGGGCCTTGTGCCTACTGGACCTCACTTACTTACCTCTTGACCTTGCTTGTACTGTGATCACTATATATATCTATACCTGCATGTTTACTCTTGCTAGGTTGTGATCATTGTATATATTTCTTGCTCTGTTATAAACCTGCATGTGAACTGGTCTTGTGACCACTAGCTTGTGCTCGGAATTTGTGTGGAATCCTTGAGATCCACCCTGAGCTTGCCTTCCTTTGCTTTGACTGGTCTCGTGACCCTGTGGTTGTCTCCCACTGCGCCTATGGGGGTGTGTCAAACATTATATGTTTATATGATTGTAGGCTGTAGTGGGTTACACCTTAGGGGGTACACTAGATTAGGGTTTACTACTTGTATCCAACTTTGTGCTAGTACAGTCATTCCTGTCCGTTCATTCTGACATAACGCAGCTCTGATACCAGCTTGTTGGTGTAAGGGCCTAATCAACTCAAGCTATTAAGACTAAATCAAACTTCAAACCTCTCCTCGGGGTCACCTCCAAGGGTCCTTGGGTGCCTGGTACAAGACCAGCCCCTATCATTGGGCCCGAGTTTGTAGAGAGAGGAGTAAAGAATGACTTAGCCAAAATAACGAGAGTACCGTGCAGCGTGCCGTGCAGACCGTCGATCGGATTAAGCTGAGAATTCGCTATATCGAAGCTCGCTCCAAGAGCTTTAAAATATGCCAAGTTGCCTCGCGAAAAGTTCTGCCATTACGAAGTTAAGGCTCCGATAGCGTTTGCCTAGCGTTGGAGTGCTAGCATACTAGCGTTGACTCGGGTAGCATTTCGCCGTCGAACCGCGTAGAAACGAAATTCCAGCAAGGAAGAAACTTGCTTGAATCAATTGACTATATTCAGGTACAAACAGAGAAGGAATAAATAGTTCTAGCTAGCAAGGACATTGACAATCAACGTGGGAACAACCAGGGATGATCTCAAATAATTCCAAGCAACAGAACCAACCTTGCGCAAGTACCTGCAAATTCATCAAGCAAAAATTGCGAAAGCAAACAAACATACAAACAAACGCACGAACATTCTAATGACACCCAAATGCATTCACACACGCATACTCGTACAAACAGACGGCAGGATATCGTGCAATGTGCATTTGCACCCAACATCATGCACATGTATGGCACCGACTACGACGAGACGTACGCGCCGGTGAGCAGCTACGTCACGCTGAGGACCTTCCTTAGCATCGTCGTCGTCTTCGACATCAACCCGATGCAGCTCGACATGAAGAACGCCTTTCTGCAGAGCAAGCTTGACCGGGTGCTGTACATGTACCGTCCAGACTACTTCAACGATGGGACTGGCAGGGTGTGCAAGCTGCTGAAGAGCCTTTACGGGCTGAAGCAGTCGCCCATGTTGTGGTACAAGGCGCTCAACGACGTGCTGGTCGGCGCCGGGTGGAAGAAGAGCCAGGTCGACGAGGCTCTCTACTTCAAGGTCGGTGACGACGGAGTGGCCTGCTGGGTGCTGGTCTATGTCGACGACCTGCTCGCCGCCAGCAGTAGCAACAGCACTACGATGCTGAAGGAGCTGAAGGAGCTGCTGGAGGTCGCCTGAGTTGCGCGAGATCTCACCGGTGGATAAGTAGCTTGGGTTGGAGATCGTGTGCGACAGGCGAGAAAGCTGTGGCTGCACCAGCAGGGCTACGCCGACAAGCTGCGCAGGCGGTTCATGTTGGTGTAAGGGCCTAATAAACTCAAGCTATTAGGACTTAACCAAACTTAAAACCTCTCCTCGGGGTCACCTCCAAGGGTCCCTGGGTGCCTGGTACAAGACCAGCCCCTATCCTCGGGTCCGAGTTTGTAGAGAGAGGGATCAAGAAGGACTTAGTCAAAACAGCAAGAGTACCTTGAACGTCGCGCAGCGTGCCGTGCAGACCGTCGATCGGATTAAGCTGAGAATTCGCTATATCGAAGCTCGCTCCAAGAGCTTTAAAATGAGCCAAGTTGCCTCGCGAAAAGTTCTGCCATTACTAAGTTATGGCTCGGACAGCGTTTGCCTAGCGTTGGAGTGCTAGCATACTAGCGTTGACTCGGGTAGCATTCCGCCGTCGAATAGCGCAGAAACGAAATTCCAGCGAGGAAGGAATTCGCTTGAATCAATTTGACTATATTCAGGTACAAACAGAGAAGGATTAAATAGTTCTAGCTAGCAAGGACCTTGGGAATCAACCTAGGAACAACCAGGGATGATCCCAAATAATTCCAAGCAACAGAACCAACCTGGCTGGACAAAATAGCAGGTGGTAGGTTGGTAAACAACCTCTGGTTCTGTTTTTCCAACCTGGGAAAACAACAACCAGGTTCAGGTTCTAAAAACAGAACCTGTTTTGTCTTTGCCCAACCAGCCAAATGCTGGTTCCGCTGGTTTCCCCTGGCCTTGTAGCATGCAGATACAGACAAACAACATCCAACCTTTACCTAAATTGTACCCCTATAGTGCCTTCCCTGCTACACTATAGTTAACCAAACAAAACAGTACAATTTCGAGTTGGATAGAACTGAATCTGCGCAATCAACTCAACCGAACTGCAAAGCTTCCATCTTGGGCTCCTTTGCGAGCTCGTCCTTTCTGCTTGCATTGTTCATAGCGCGTACAATGTTGTGCCGAAGCGCACATTGCGCGAGTACCTGCAAATGCATCAAGCGAAAAATGCGAAAGCAAACAAACACACGAACACACCATTCACACGCATTCGCACACGCATACTCGTACAAACAGACGGCAGGATGTCGTGCAATGTGCATTTGCACCCAACACACTCCCCCTCAGCCTGCCGGCTGCATCCCCGTCATTCCATGCTAGTTCATGCTCATTCCACTCATGCGCACACAACGCCAATGAGGCTCATCCGCAAGCCTCTTGGTGAGAAAGTCTGCTGGCTGCTGGTGAGTCTTGATGTAGATCGGATTCACCGTCCCCCTCTTCACCTCCTTACGCAGCCAGTGCCACTTGATACGCATGTGCTTGTTCAGCCCATGAAGCACAGCGTTTCTGGCCATCCCAAGAGCCCCCTTGCTATCACAAAACAGCGGCGTAGCAACTTTCTGCTCCTGGCCAATCTCCTCTAACAGCCTCCTCAGCCAAATCACCTCCTTCACCCCATGGAACATCGCCATGTACTCTGATTCTACGGAAGAGAGTGCCGTCTCCGTCTGCTTCTTGGACCTCCAACTAACAGGTCCTCCCCCAACTACGCAGATGTATCCTCCCACAGATGAGGAATCCTCCTTCTCAGAAGCCCACGTAGCATCGGTAAAGCAAGTCAGAAACAGCTTGCCTTCTCCAAGCCTCTCCCCCTTCTCTTTCAGCACCTCCACCCCTTTCTGCTTCACCTGTGCAGATGCGGAGTATTGAACTCCAATGCTTGGGTGAGAGTTCAGGTACTTCACCACACGCTCAGCTGCATCCACCTGCTCCTCTGATGGATTCTGCACCACCCTAGCCAGCTGCCCAACCGAGAAAGAGATGTCGGGCCTCGTGTGAACTGCTGCGTACAAGAGGCTGCCCACCAAGGACTGAAATTGCTGCTGCTCTTCAGCTTCAACCCCTTCATCCTCTGCAGCCTTCACAAGCTTGAATTCTGCTGGCAGGGGAGTTGCAACCTTGCGCTCATTCTCAATCCCATACTTCTCCCCCAGCTCCTTGATGAACTTCTCCTGGTGCAGCTTCAACCACCTGTGATCTGGATCCCTCTCCACGTGCATCCCGAGGTAGTACTTTACCTCCCCAAGGTTCTTGCACTTGAAGTTTTCCATCAGTTGCTGCTGCACTTTCTGGATCTCCTTCATGCTGCTGCTGAAGAGAAGAATGTCGTCCACATAGACCAGAAACAGCACCAGCTTCTCCCCCTCGCCCTTGAGAAAGAGGCTCTCATCACAGCTGCTGGTCCTGAATCCCATCTCCTCTAAAACAGCTGCCAACTTCTGGTACCAGCAGCGTGGCGCCTGCTTCAAGCCGTAGATGGACTTGTTGAGCTTGCACACCCTGCCCGTACCATCCTCATACCCAGGCGGCTGCGTCATGTACACATCCTCCTCTAAAATCCCATTCAGGAATGCCGTTGAAATATCCATCTGAATGATGAATTTCCCACTAACAGCTGCATCTGCCAACAAGACACGGAGGGTAGGGGGTTTGGCAGTGGGAGCAAAGATCTCGTTGAAGTCCTGCTTCTCCTTCTGCATAAACCCCTTCGCCACCAGCCTACTCTTGTAGATGGTGACCTGCCCCTTGTCATCGGTCTTGATCCTCAGCACCCACTTGCATTGTATCGCTTTCTTCCCATCAGGCAGCACCACCAGATCCCATGTCCTATTCTCCAGCAGACTCTGGTACTCAGCATCCCTAGAAGCCAGCCACTTGTCCCTATCTGGTCCAGCTAATGCCTCCTCCATGCTAGCTGGTTCCTCTGGTGCAGGGGCAAGAAAACAGTACGCAGGCTCATCCTCCTCATCCGGGTCATAGCCATGAGGTAGAATCAGCAATGCCTCTTCGGTCCCTAGCTGCTGCTCTGCTGCATCAGTTCCTGCAGTCAGCTTCTTAGTAGCCATACGGGTACGTCCTGGCCTGGAGACGGGTGTCTCCCATCCCTTCATAACGACACCCTTCGGCTTCTTAGTTTTTCCCTGCTGCTTCTCTCCTCCCTCGGGTCCAGCAGCTCCACTAGTGCTGCCGCCAGTTTCCACACCATTTTCTCCACCAGCAGATGCCTCCTGTACCTTCTCTCCATCACCATTTCCAGCAGCTGCCTCCTCTCCCTCCTCCCACACACTAGGAGTCAGGTCCAGCTGCATGGTGATCTGCTCCATCTGCTGGGACACCCTTGCCTCCGGCTGTTTCTCCCAGCTCCCATACATCATGCCCTCAATGAATTTCACATCCCTGCTGTCAAACAACACACCCTTGGATGGTTCCCACAGCAGCCATCCCTTGCTCTCAGCAGCCAGCCCCAAATGCACACACCAGATTGCACTCGCCCCCAACTTACTGCGGTAGGTCTTGGGGACGTGGGC